TCCCAACTATCCAGTAATCAAAACATTGTCATTATGATTTTTAATTTGTTATTAAATCGAGTTTAAGTTTAATTGATTAGCTTTGTTCAAAATTAGGGTTCCTGATTATAATTATTTTTATTACTAATAGATGTGCCCATGCATTGGAGAGAGGTTTATGAAAGCTTTTTTCTCTAAAATATGCCAGTGGCAATATATAGATTGAAAGTACATGAGAATAACATTATTCATGTCTACTTGGCTTGATTGTTTAAATGACAGTATGCATAAAAAATATGTGAAAAAGAAATCCATCAAATGATTGATGGGATTTGAAAATGAAATGCAATTGTAGAGTTGATGTTTTACCAGTTATGGATATAAACTGTGTTTGTTATTGTCCCGAGTATGCCAGTAATGATTTAAAGTACATAGACAGTATGTATATCCATTGTAATGAAAGAGGAAACTGGAGAAATCCCATCAGTACCCCTAGTGGCTGATCTATATTTAGCCATGAGTTATGAAATCTATGCATTTAAAAGAAAAATAACTTCTTTACACATCCTGAATCATTCCTAGTTGATTAAATCATATTTGACAGGCCCAAATGCAAAGGCCTAGGAGGAGTTCGAGGACAAATAAAATTCTCTCAAATTATAGCAGAATTACAACAATACAAGTAAACATGATGGCAATAATCAAAATATTTCCATAATTATTTTTTTTTTTACTAAATGCAAAGCCATACAACAGGCTGTCCATGCTCTGTCACAATAGGTATCAAAAACCAATTTTTAGCATCAAGTTGTTTTTTTTACCTATCATGCAAGAGTTTGTTTTTTTTGTTTGAAGTTAAGCACAAAGCTACACAATGGGCTATCTGAACTCTACCCACCAGGGGTATTGAAACCTGGTTTTCATTATTGTATGTCTACAGACATACTGCTGTGCCACTGGGGGGCTCTCGTATGAGAAGAATTGATTAGTTAAATGCAATAGAATAACAAACCTGACAATTAATCAATTAGCAAATTCCACCAATCACCTAGCTATGGTAAAAAATTTTGCAATCCCATTTTTCTTTACAATGTTCTGTTACTCATATACGACTTAAAAATAAAAATACCAAGTATAGCAGCCTTTAAAACATTTCCCATCTTCATCATTTATCTTGACAACATACTTGCATATAACATGATTAATAAAATCATTGGTTTGTGAATATTTCTGCAAATATGTTATAAAGCAATTCTAATAATCCTACTCCTAAAATTGTTAATTATCACAGTATTTGTTTCTACATAATTGTGAAAGGAAGTTTAAGTAAAACAGATTAATTATGTGCATTCTCAAAATTACTTAAAATATGAAATCTTTAGTACATCAGTCCCAATTGTTCTGAATTTGCAAATTTCAACTCAAAAAATGAAGATTAAAATGGATCTTGCACATGAAGAAATATATTATACGTGGAAAATTAAGCAAATTATCATCGGTTTCATATATAACCGAGTGCCAGCAGTTTATTACATTTTTCATTTTTAGGTAGCTGACAATTATCATTTTAATGTGAGAACAAGTCTACAAGTAGTTTTCAACTCATCATACTCAATTTATACATATATATTGTATATTTATAAAAATGTTTTAAAGTTAAACTATTTGTGAAATTGTCTTCAACATATCAGGGACTTTGGGAAATATACCAAGTGATGGTAATACCATTAAACAGCACCAACATATGCCAAATCAATATTCATATTGATATTACTGTATTCAGAGTTGCATATGTAATTATGTATTTTTGTCTTAAAGGTTTTTCTCAGTAACTAAAAACTTTATGTCATCCAGTTTTGATTGTTATTCTGATCTCATTACATTTTCAAATTTCAGTGATATAACTACAGGAGTTAAAACTGGGACCATTGTAATGAGACCAATGCTATGTGAAATTATAATACTACAGCTAAGAGCTAAAGACCACAATAAAGAACAAGTCTGTCTTATTATTAATGACTGCTTTCAAACATTAACTCTCTAATACAAAAGCAATCATAAGTTACGTCTCCGTTCGCTAGTTAATTTTCCGTAACCTCGTTCCGACGAA